TTTCTTCTAGCGTTTTGCTCGAGAACCTAATCGCAAGGTGGTGATGGTAAACAAACTGATTTACCGGTGTTTCACGGTCGTCATGCTACCGTGTTATTGTCGGAATTGACGGCAGGCAGTTTGCCTGATCCTGGACGACAAAGACAAGGAATACCGGAATGGTCATTTCTGGCTTATTAGCTCTCATCGGCCAGTCATACGAAATCCCAGGTGTGGATCATCCGAGATTCGAAACCGCGACCTTGGGTCATTGAGTGCAACGCTCTGCCATCTTGAGATCGAATTTTGGATTATCCACACCCGGGATTGGGTATGAATGGCCGATGACGGCTAATAAGCCAGAAATGACCATTTCGGTCTCCCTTGTCTTTCTCGGTTCTACCTTACTATATATGTATATGTGTACTTTCTCCATTCTTTTTAGTTTTCTTTGTTAACGAAGTCTTACTTTTCCAACTTCCGGCGCTTTAAGTCCTGTTCGTACGTCATCCAACTGCAGATTGTTTTTCATATAAGCTTTTGAACTACGTTTCAGGAACCACAATCTCCGCGTTATTCGACCCTTGGTTTTCGTGCGCGAGAAGGTGACGCGGACGTTTGCGGAGATGGTGAGTTTTTAATAGACACAGCCAGTTGCTTTTACTTATGCACTCAGTCCTCATTACCAAATAAAGCCATTTTCTGTGAGTTATCTCCCCTACCTTGTACATTTTTACACTGCAGCCTGCATTTACATACGCCTGAGTACTGACGGCAAATAGGCCAGAACTAGCATTTCCAGTCTCTCTTCTCATTGTCGGTAAAGCCTAATTGTGCAAATATCGAAACTTCTGGGACTTATTTTCATTTTTTAGTTGATGGGAATAATGTTAGGTGAAAAAGAACTATAAGAATACAGTCCAGTTGCTGCGATAAAATGTTTATTTTTTTGATTTTCTTATCCGTAAGTAGAACGCAAGAAAAACACAAATCAAATAGCTTTTCTGCCTCTTTATACCGAACAATGGCCTATGGTGTCCTTATGGGTACCGGATAAGCGTTTGTGAATTTGATAAGCCGACTGACTGAGTTCTAGTCATGGCTGTGGTACCCAACCAAGTCTAGGCAACCACTGCGTTATGGTTTGTGATGGTACTGCTTAGTTCCTTCCCTCTAACAAGAATGCGCAGAGTAATCCGAAGCAATTACTAGTTCCTGTACGTTCCAGGCGGGCTGCACTGATTGCACAGATAATTTTGACTGTTTTCTGTCAGTGCAGATGTTAATTTATTATTTTTCGAGTAAGAAAACACAAATTTACGACTTCAGTTGACAGTTTGCAGCACTTTCATAGATTATTTTTTTACGCACAAATATGTACGATCAAGCACGTTATTCCCCTTCTGAGGTGAATCCACATACTTCCGTTTTCAATCTAATCTCTTCCGGTAACTTAAACTGACGTCTCCATCCTCCGGTCTTTTGTTAGCCCAAACACCCTAAATTTCCCCCTATATACTTGTAATTTCTTTTTATGTCTGGGTACTTCCATGTTAAGTATAAGCCTTTTTGCTGAACATATTAGATTCCGGTTTCAGGAATGTCACTTTTTTAAAATCATTCATTATCTTCCCCACCTAGGCCGGCTTGCCGATCATTCCAGAAAACTGTCCTGCCTGCTTCCAAATGCCCAAAGAGCGGATGCGTATAAAAAGAGTACTTACGGAATACGAGTCAATTTTCCCCTACCTCTATTCCAGCCTCCAGGCCGCCATGATGCCCCTCCTCTCTCGCAACGCTGCCCTCGGACTATCTGGTTTTGAGGATGCTCGACTAGCTATTCAGAATGATCGGGCTGCAACGCCAGAAGAAGATGGTGACGATACTGACTGCCCGCGGCGCACTTCATGTGCTGACGGGCAGTGTAAAGACTCCAGCAGCATCGACCACTAAGGCCCCTGTCTTCAGAAGATAGCTTAGATGCGGTGAAGGGAAGGCGGGGGGTTTCCATTCGCATGAGTTCACAGGACCGGCATGAATTCACGTGCGCCGGATTTTTCAGTTCGGTCTCGTCCACTATATTCCGATAAAGTGATACCTCGTTAGAGTTCCTTCAGTGGCTCAGTCAGGCCAGTTTATTGTATTATTTTAAATAAACACCCTTTTTAGTTCTTTTGTGCAGCACTTTTTGGCGAATGTTAGTGCAACAGGGGGTGTGACATCGGTTGGTTTACAAGTAGAAGATGCCATCACTGGGACAAGAAACTTATTTGCCTGACGTTTGAGATTCTGACTTTAACCCTTAATCAGGGATAACCACAGAATGGAGTGGGTTCGTAATTGATGCGATGATAATTTGGCGGTCCGCTTCCGAGTCATTAATTGCCTCGATGTAATCATCTGTGTTCGATGTTGGCTTGATAATTACGCGACAATTAGGTCCGCTGTCATCGGCATTGTTGCTGGGCCGCGCATTTCCCATGCGACTGATTCTCCTGCCCAGACACTGTCCCAGCACGGAATATGGGAACGGCAAGTCATTGCGCCTGTTACTTGACTGCAGGTCTGAGAACCATTATTCTGGCAGCTCGCGGCTGACGCTGTCGTCACCTCTTATGAGGATTTCAGCCTCGTTAAATTTGAAAATATGGCTGGGTCCAGTCGAATGAGCTGTAACCTGGGAGTTAGCGTCTTTCCTCCTTACTGCTGCTGCGTGCTCGGTCATTCACGCCCGGAGTAAGCTCCCGGTTTCTCCGACATAGTTGCTTTGCCCACAACTGCACCAGATCCGGTAAA